TCAGGTTCACATTACGGTTAGGTTTAGGGTTAGGGTTAGGTTTAAGTTTAGGGTTACGGTTAGGTTTAGGGTTAGGGTTAGGGTTAGGGTTAGGGTTAGGTTTAGGTTTAGAGTTAGGGTTAGGGTTAGGGTTAGGGTTAGGGTTAAGTTTAGGGTTACGGTTAGGTTTAGGGTTAGGGTTAGGGTTAGGTTTACAGCGCGCTTCTGTCACTGCGCTGTTGTCGCCACGCTTCAGCGCTCATTCGTCGGTGCGCTTTAGAACTCGCTGTTTTGTCGCCGCGGTTTAGTCGAGCGCGCTTTTGTCGTTCGCCCTTTTGTCGGTGAACCGTATACAACAGGTTTCTTCTATAAATGAATCCTGCTAAATTATTTGCTTATGTGCTGGGTGAAAGCTGCAAACTCCAGCAAATTACAGTTTGGAGATGCTAGGAATTGCAGTTCCACTGCAGTGACACATCAGCTTCTGACACAACACATCTGTTGTTTCTCTTCAACAATCTCTTCTTCCTTAGCTGCTTTGGAGGACTGACACCAATTAATTAGATTCCGAAGCCCCAGTTAATTTTATGTGATTTATTTTTGTGGCGCTACTTGAGTTTTCTACTGGTGGCAATAAATGGTCTTTGTTCTCATCTTTCACACAGATTGATGGAGTGATAGCAAACCTTCCGGTTCAAATCCAGGCTTTAGGAATCACCATGTATCAACACGGCTTTTATACCGTTTTAAAAACAGAGTTTGGTTTAATAGTGAATTATGACCCGGGTCACAATCTCTTTGTGATGCTTTCCCCTGAATATCGGGGCCTGACTTGTGGACTATGTGGGAACTTCAATGAACTCATGGAGGATGACTTTAGGATGAGAAATGGCTCAGCTACAGAGGACATACTGGACTTTGTCCTGAACTGGACATCAGAAACCAATCTTGCCGATACTGGCGAATCGGTTGCCTTTATCCCCGTGTTGGAACGAGGAGAAGACCTCGCTCGTTTTAAATCTCTGTGCTGGATCATCCAGGATCCAGATGGGCCATTCGCTTCTTGCCATCCCCAGGCTGATCCACTGTCCTTCTTCACAGGCTGCATTTTCGACCTTCATGCCTCCTCTGGAGACCAAAGCACCCTATGCCACTCTGTTCAGATATATGTTGCAGTTTGTCAGAGAGCCAATGTCACCATCTCACCTTGGAGGAGAGGAGACTTCTGTGGTAGGTGGAGAATAGGCATTTCTATTTTTAAACTTAACTTCGATGAGTTTCCATTCAATGCTTCTTCTCCTGCCTTCAAGTGCTTTGGGGAATAGTTTGACTCCTTTAGTTTTTTTTTTCTTTTGCCAAATCTTGCTTACTCCTGAAAGCTTGTGGAATTCCCTCATTTTTTTTAAAAAAAACTTTTTATTTTGTTTTGTGGGAAGTTATCATCCAGCCCTCTCCCAGAAAAAATGAAATATCCTAGGAAATATTGAAAAGGCAGAATATTCCTTTGGATGTGAAAAGAAAGAAATCATGTTTTAAAAGACAAGTAATAGTTGCCTGTAGCTTCCTGCCCATCCCCACTGTTAATGGGCCATTAAGATGGCCAAGCTAATCCACTTTACATAATAAAGACCACCAGCAGCTACAGGAAAGCATGATAATATTGGCCCTTTACAATATTTCCTAG